CACGCCACCCCCCGCCCCCCCACCCTGGCAGAGCTCAACCGGCCGTGTCAAGACCCTCTGCACAAAAATCTCTGTTAATAGCAGAGACATGTCAGCTATTTTTTAGGGTTCATTTAGTGGAAAGCTTTAATAAGTTCATTCTATATGTGGATGACATGCTACGGTGAACCTGCGAGCCAAAAGAGATCATGTTACCCCATCTATGCCTCACACAGTACTAATCTGCCCTTCCTCACACAGCCCTTGGTGTCCACTTGTACTTCTACCAGTGATCACTTCAGATCCACTCCACCAAGATTTACAGCCCAGTTAGTAGACCCCTCAAAGCTGACTGTTACGTTATCACTCTGTGCCCACGGGCAGATCAGTGTCTCAGCTCCGGGTGGAAAGAAGTGAGAAGAGTGGGTTTATACAGTTAACGCTGTAGGTATGTGGCAACAGGGGACGAACAGCTGAGAGGAAAACATAGCTTGCTGTGTCGTTTGACTCCTGCATGCTGATGTCCACCTCTCCTGTGGTCAGTGTGTTTGATGGCATGTGTTTGGCCATGTTTTACAGCTGGGCTTTTATCACATACAATCACATGTAAGCATGTGGGCATTGAAGGCATGAGCATGGCCTCAACTCTGACTGTTCTAATAAAGAGTGGAGAATGTAATTATTATTCATCCAAATAGAGCTGTAATTGAATCTTTTTTATGATAAGGATCATAATGATATGGATATTGCTAAAGATACAGATTTGGATGCTGATATCGATACTGATATTGGTGCCATGATAGAATAGTTATTATTATTATTATTATTATTTTAAAGCTTATTTAAATTAAATTATCTTTTTTAGTATTTCTTATAAATGTTCACGGCCTTTATATTTGCTTAGGGCTCACAAATTAATTTCCCCCAATTCTTAATACAATGCACATATACTGTGTATATATATATATGCATACACACACACACACATATATATATATATATGTGTGTGTGTGAGTGTACGTATATATATATACATACACACACACACATATATATATATATAGTGTATATATATATGTGTGAGTGTGTGTGTACGTATATATATATACATACACACACACACACACATATATATATATATATATGTGTGTGTGTGAGTGTACGTATATATATATACATACACACACACACACATATATATATATATATAGTGTATATATATATGTGTGAGTGTGTGTGTACGTATATATATATACATACACACACACACATATATATATATACATACACACACACACACACATATATATATATATATATGTGTGTGTGTGAGTGTACGTATATATATATACATACACACACACACATATATATATACACTATATATATATATATATGTGTGTGTGTGTGTGTGTATGTATATATATATATGTGTGTGTGTGTGTACGTATATATATTTACATATTTGTGTGCTATTTGTGTGCTGCTAAGGTAAACATAGCACTGTAACATTTGATTACTGGCCTTTAAATAATTATCAGGTAACTCTAGACTAATCATCATCCATCTTTGGCTGAGTCTTATAGACTTCTACAGTATTTTTCCATTTTTAAAGGTTACACATCTTTTGTTTAGCAGCTGATAGGCGTAAGAAGGTAAACAAAGATGCCCAGACACGGGTGAAGTCTTTCCTTCTGAATCTATTTCTGTCCAGGCTATTATCACAACATGCTGAGCTCTGCTGTTGTCACTTGTTCTTACCGGCAACCTCTTTGACCAGGACAGCCTCGGGGAGGGTGACAGGAGGACTGCGTCCGCCTATGTTGACGGCTACCACACGAATTTTCAGGCGGTCGCCAGTGGTCTGGTTCTTGATCACAAAGCGGCAAGATTTCTGCACATCCTCGTTGACTGCTTTCCAGTCCTCAGCTGGACAAACAGAGACAGAGAGTTTACAGAGCTGTTGTTTGGGAGCAGTATTAGCAGGACATTATGGAGGTTATGAAGTTGTCTGTTGTATAGGGAACAGACATTTGTTCATATTTACGGTCATGTAACACGTGATTATTATGGACTTATCTTTTTATTAATTAACATGGGAGCAGCTCGTCAACGGGTAACATGTATACCCTAATCTAAAGTGTTGCTAAATCTGGCCTACAGCCGACGGCTGCTGATACTAGCATCGAGCCGTCAGTCTATATGCAGCGCTGGTCTCCAGCGAGCACAGCAGCTCCTGAAATGCCTCTTTCCTTGTAGGGAGAAGTTAGGTAGCTGATGATATAACTCTGTGAGTGACACTTCAGGGACAGCTGCAACCGATACCACTGACCCACATGTGAACAGTAATTTGGCCTCTACCTGCATGTGGATTGGAACCAGCTGCTGTGCAATAATAAAACAATTTGACTGAACTTACTTCCATCCTTGCAGACCTCAATGACATATCCATCCAGACCAGAAGGTCCAATGTTCTCAGGCTGACTCCAGATGATGGACACTGACGTGTCATTCTTGTCTTCAACAAACAGATCCACTGGAGCACTGGTGGGCTCTGCAGATGTTGTTAAAATAAGCACGGATAAGGAGAAACACAGAGCGAAAAAAAATCTGAATACAATTCAAAGTTGAAGGGACCCCATGACTTGAAATAAAAATTAAATCCAAAATGTAAAAAAAGGGCACAGATGAAGTTTGACTTGAACGCAGTGTTACCTTTGGGTGGAGGTGGTGGAGGTGTGGGTGGTTTTTCTTCTGGTGCAGGCGCCTCAGCAGCAGCTTCAGCTAATGTTAAATAGGCATTGGCAGAATATCAGCAGCATGTGACGAGCAAAAGCAAAGCTACAGCATTAGCTATCACCCAGATTTACGTCATTCTAACCAAATGTTTGGTGTTCAAACGCCCGACTCTTTCAATATTAAAAACAAAATAATAATAAAAATAATAAAATTGTGCGACAGAAAGGCTCTCTGTTTTTTGCAGGTTGTTTTACCCTCAGCAGGTGCATCGGCCTGAGCAGCAGCAGCAGCGTCTTCTGCGGCTGGAGCGTCAGCAGCTATTATTACATATTAGATATTAGTGATTTAAGTATAACAATATAAGCATTTATTTAAAAAAAACATATAAATGTTGTTTCAATCAATACATGCACAGTAGTTATACTGCAGTAATAGGCAGTAGTTCACGCTGCAACCATTCACATGTCACGATTTGTCAGTGCACACAAATGTGATTTATAGAAGCTTTTATGTGAAGTTAGTATTCTGTACGTTAAATGTCAGGTCAGTGTACAAAGAGTCAACTTTAAGGACAGAAATGAATGTAGTGCACTGCATAGTGGTTTGATTTTGATTTTAAGACGTTTCTAATGTTTTTATGAATTAAAATGAAAATAGAATAGAATAAGAAAAAGTCCTGTCTATATATATGTATATATGATGGCTCAATGGATTAAATTGACAAAGCAGGAAAATGTGTTAATTGAATAGAGGACCATAGGGGGCAGCAAACCGGGAGCAGATGATTAATCAACACATGCAGCTGATGTTAAGTTGAGTGCGTTAGTAATTCATTACTATTTGTTAAATGTGTTAATTTCACATGTTCTATTTTCAGTCGCGGTGTCAGCCAAGCTGAGGTGTGTGACAGTGACGGCAGGGAGATTCCACACGTGTCTGAAAGCCCGTGCGTCCACGACGCGTAAAAGACGCAAAAGAACCCGAAGGAGACTTTCAGAGGTAAAAAACAGTATAACGGTCCAGAGAGGCGGATTTATACTGTGACCACACAGCCTGTGCATGGTTCCAACCACTGAACCACAGACACAACCACACTCAGCACATAAACCGGTGATGCGCCTTCACAGTGACCTAAACCATGAGTGGTTAGAGGCAAAAGATAAACAACGTATCCATCGTTTATCCGACAAATCTAGACGGAGAAAAGACAAGTTGAACTCGGACCCATTACCATCAGCGGGTGGTGGAGGAGTGGGAGGCTTCGGCTCCTCAGCCGGAGGAGCAGCAGGCGCCTCCTCAGCAGGTGCAGCCGGGGCTTCGCCCTCTGCGGGGGCAGGGGCAGCCTCAGCCGGTGCTGGCTCAGCTGGAGCGGGCTCTGGTGCGGGAGCCGGTTCTGGAGCTTTCTCCTCCTCCTTCTTCTTGACTGGTTCCTTCTTCACCGCCTTCTTGATTGGGGCAGGCTTGGCCGGCATGTTGGAGGTTGCAGCTTATTCCCAACTCGGTTTAAGTCCTTAACAAAACTGAATCCGATGCCATTTTTCCAACGGGTTTGGGAGACTTTTATAGAGCCCAGCAGGTTCAAGCCCCGCCCACACGCAATTACATGTAACAGATAGTTGGTTCCCAGCAGGAGCCGTGTCTGACTCACACAGCCGTGTCTGTTTGTCTTATACATCGAGATGTTGATACTGACATTAATGCCTTCAGCATGGGGAAACATTTTTAAATAAACAAAAGAATACACACACACACACACACATATATATAAATACAAATATAAATATATACATGTATTTATGTATATATGTATACACACGTGTATGTCTATATAAATACAGTATGTACATATATACAGTTTTACATATATATTGACATACACATGTACATGAATATAAATACACTTACATGCACATCGATAAAAAGAACTAAAAAGGTTCTATCGATTACAGGTTCAAGTTACTAAAAAATAAATTTAAAAAGTTTGCATAGAATGAAGCTGGCCGACGGTTCAACTACAGACAGTGTTACAGTCTGAGAGAGACCATCCATTACCACCGGGGCCTCGAACCGCTGACCTTCTTGCTGTAAGGAAAGAATCATCACAGTCAATTACCACACACACACACAAGACAGCAGAATAAATATACCATGTATTTTATTGATTCAACAAACAGTGATAGGTGGATGAAGGCCCTCAGAATCCTAACTGTATCCATGTGTCCGCCTGACCCTGAACAGATTTCTGTCAGTCACTTTCTTTACCACTCCTCAGTGATTGTTGCCGCATCTAGAAAGCGGACCTATTTACAGTCTTTACAACGGTGTCCTGTACAAAATAGAGAAATTAACTTTTACAAAGGCATTTTAGAAAAAAAAAATCAAACATTTGAGTATTCAAAAGGAAAACATCTTCTTGAGTTATTTTCCTAAGCAATACGCCAATTTTACTATGTTTTTTTTTTTCATCACACAGCAAGTCTACATGCATGAACAACACTTAGAAACCCTTAATAATTGCACATCAGTGACATTTGATACCACGTAACATCTTTTGGATCTTAAGTTTTGTCGTTCACAAGCTCGAAGAAAAAAAAAAAAAACGACTATTCAGCTGTGTTGAGGTTTAATTCTTCCTAAAGTGAAAAGAGCTGCTCTGTGCCAAACATTTCCAGCTTGTTTCTGTGATTTTCAATCATCCTTATTGTCTACTGACCATCTGCACGTCCACTTCAAGGACTGTCGTTCAAGGACAAAATGTGAAGTCGCTTTTAAACCAGCTGCATGTCTTTCTCACTGTCTTTTATCCATGTTGTTGATGTGTACCCTCACACACTCTCCTGGCTTTAAGGCTCAGCCTTCCTGGCTCGACAAATTTCATCCTGAGGTTCACTTTTTGTTTTTACCCCACGATTGCTCTTCCAAGCCAGAGACAGACTGGATGAAAACATACCGTGTTTGCCCAGAAATTCACAAAACCGACTGCTGACACTAGTAGAACTTGCTGCACAGCCCTGCTACACTGGTAAGCAAACACAAATCACAGCTACGGCACTATATAGCAACAGGCACAACAGCCAGTCAATGAGATAAGAATGCATGAGTTCATCTGCAGAAACAGGGATGGAGAAAATGTCAGTGACCTGAAATATTTACACTTGATGACACTGGGAATGATCCTCCAATGAGACTCACCGGCTGTTTCTCATTTCACTCAAGTCTTTTGTTCTCAGCCTTCATTGAAAAAGAAATGCAGTTATGAAGCATTTAACAGCAGTGGCACAGTTTTACAAACTCAAACGGTTATGTGGAGTGGAGTTATGTTCATATACATGTGGAAATAAACAGTCTGCCATGAACAGATGAGTCATTTCAACACCACCTGCACGACCACAGGTTGACTCCACCAGAGATTTTACAAAAGTCTACACAACAGACCTGATAAAGTATTTGAATATTTCTCTGTGTACTCTCTCCTCGGAGTAAATACCCACTGTGTTCATCTTCTGTGCTGCGAATGAAAACATTACGACTTCACTGCTTCCAAAACACACTGCAGAAAGACATCAAACATTTTTTTTCTTCCAGATTTCTTTAGCTCTTTTTTTTCCCATTAATGATCCATGACACCAACGATAGTCATTGCTAACCTACCCTGAACACCTACATGTTTCCCCAACATTTAAACACTCTGGGACAGTGTTGAAGAGCACCATACACACCTAAAGGATGACGACAACATCTCCTCAAACCACTTTAAAAGACTTTTTCATTGCACGGTGTAGGAATTAAATATGTTTAATTTCCTGTGAGTCAACCAGTGAGAAGAGCTTTGTAATAAAACTTTGACTAAAAGCACCTAGTATACATGTTGAACACTGTTTCTCTATACAGTTAAACTTAAACCTTTAGAATTATGATATTTGGTTCAGGACATTTTTCACATATTTTCACCTACTAGTGGAGATAAAAATAGCTGTAACATCTATTAATGTCATTTTATTGACAAAAAAAAATTCAGAATTAAATTCCTGGAGTGTTAGCTGTTTAACCAGAGGATCCTTGTTATCCCTGTGTTATATGTATTTAATACCTGATCGTAAAGCCACTGCTAGTGACACTAATCAAAGCAGAGGGAAAAATATAATAATTTAAGTGCTTAAGGAAAAAATAACATAACCTGTGAAGAGTATGACAGCAGGTCTAAATGCCTGATCCAACAGGAGAATATGGCTGATTTCTGCTCACAGTAGCTGTGATGGTGATGTTGATGAAAGCACCAGTTTTCTAAAATCTGCTGAAGGTGGGACGACACAGAGGTCTTTGACTCTTAAGGCATTTTTTCCTGTGGTACCTGCTCATGTTGTAACACTCAGGGTTGCATATATTTATGTGTGACATTTGGCATTCAATCACGTGGACCTGGAGCAGACTGGGTGTGAGCACAGAGCAGGGATGAGGGCCGTGTTGCTGAAGTGTTGCATCACTGACTGTACACTCACAAATTCAATCAGATTATGTGACAGTTTTAAATGTTGGCCAAAGATAGTTTTCGTTGTTTGTAGCAGTGGCCCTCTGTGTAGACCTTAAAGATTCATATAGGGGTACAACCCAGGTCTACAGTTTTGTAAAGCATCACAGTGCAGTGAGGTTGCTCTAAACTGACAAGATGACAGGAGAAATGTGAAAAATGAGATGTTCTGGCAGGACAATGTTCTGCTCACACATCCAGATTGGTCCAGGGCCTCAGGCAGCAGATATGTATCAAATCATCTCCCATGCTGTCATACTCTTTTGTTTAAACAGGGTTAATGGAGGACACGGCCTGTTGACGAGAGCACCGTCCTCTAAGTTGCACTAAACACAGTACAGTGTGCATTCAGTGCACGCTGTTGCAGAAATCATAAGAAGTGCAGAGACATTCAGCTTCATAGTGGTCTATTAGCACCATTCTGAGAGGGCTAATGTGGTGGGAATATAAATCGTGAAGCAAATATGGCATTAAGATTTCCATCCAATTCTTGGGATGAGATTTTGAAAATACTGCACAGTATGAGTCTGTGTTTGTAACTAATACCCATTTACACATTGTAACGAACGTGTTAATGACTGTTTGTGAGCAAGTTCCTGAATGTGCACTTAATTAGTACAAATGACAAAAGCAATTGAATTTGAAGTGCTAAGTGTTGGAGCGATCAGAGTTTAGGCAGACCAGGCTCCTCCTTGTCTGGAGATTCAATGTAATTGGCCGCCTCCTGAAGTTTCAAAAGCATTGCCATCTAAAACGAAGAAGAGAAGAGTTGAGACATGAATAAGAAAACTCTCCGTGATATATTTCAAGTCCATCAGGAGAGTTGGCAATACTGTCACACCTCGCAGGGATTATCACCAAATGCATTAAATGTTTTACCAGTGGATCCGATTCCATGGAGCTGGGTGGTGTTTCCTTGTGTGGCCTCGCCTCGCAGGCTTGACCGGGGCTGCTGGAACCCACACTGGGGGGAGGAAGATGGAACAGCTTCGCCTGGTCCTGCTGGGCAGACGGCCAAGGCAGACTGCCCCTCACCCACTCTACTGGGTCCTCCCATACTGCCTTCTGGCCGTGGACCTTGGGTGTCACAACATACCACCAAAGTAAAATTAGAGCACAGCATTTGCTTTGCAAGAAAAAAAACAGATGCACTTCCTGAGGAGCTGGACTCAGTTTCCTGCACTTGGAGTCTGTTGTTTCTCACCTTGATGCCGTCCTTGGCGCCTTCTTGCAGGTACGGAATAATGGAATGGTTCCAAAGATCAATGAACCAAGACCGAAACTCATCCACTGTGACTGGACATGACAGGAAGAAGCATGGACCTAAAGGAAAAAAAGAAATGAGGACATTTAATAATAAACTCTGGTCAAATGAATGAAAATGTTTTCACAGTAAAAGACTTTGGAGTTTTTTTCGGTACCGATCAGAAAGTCTGACGTGCTGTGCTTCTCCAGAAAGGTGTGGAGGTGATACCAGAGCTTGGGCACCCAGTCCAAGACCTTCATGAGGTCTTCATTGGTCAGACTTCGTTCATTCTCCGACTCAATCATCTTCCTGTGCAGGTATCGAACCAGGAAGCCGTTGGCTGGTTCCACATTGTTGGAAAATGTCACCATCCTGGCCGTAAAAAGTAGTTTTTCAGTAAAAATACAGTAAACGTGTAGTATGCATGATTGGCAGTTCATTGCATATACATTGAAACCCAACATAGAGACGTATCGGTAGAAGTACTTGGTGTCAGTGAGCACAGAAATAAAACATAGTCAATGAAAAAAACACTCATAAAATATATTAACAGAAAATTCACTGTTCCACCAACTGACCTGAAGCTGAGATGAAGGCCGTGGTTTGCGGTCATCTTCACTGGCTGATTACTGGTCCCAATAATATAAGGGCTGAATGATATAAAAATAAATTACTATGATGTATGAATAAAAAGTAAAGAGTAATATTTATACAAATACTGGAAACATTACTCTACCATTTGTGGTATTTGCATGTTAAAGCACCGTTGACAAGTTCACTGACGGAGGCAGGATCGTGGACGTCGTCCAGGATGACAACCAGCGGCGTCTCCGAGGCATTGGTCTCTCTGTCTATCTGATTGGCCAAGTTGGAAAGGTAGAGCTGCAGCTCCTGGGAAATGAAGGTCAAGAGACACATCTATAATTGAATCTGCATTCATAGCACCCCCTGCAGGAGGGTGGAAGGATGTCTGTAAACATTTATTTCAAACAATATTATTACAAATTTGATTTAGTTAAGTTTAGTTCCACTGGGTTTATGTTGTCAAAACTGCCAGGATGACTAGACCTTGGTATTTAAAGCATACAAAGATGTAACATCTGAGGAAGAGCTCGCCATCCAAACATGTCTGGGTAAAACTGCGCCTGTTTGTCTAAGTAAAGCTTATTTTGTGTCACCTTGCATGACTGGCGGTGCATGTTGAATGTGACCACGATGCCGTTGCTGACTTCACGGGCGCTGCGGTCCACCAGGTACTCGGCCAAACGGGAGGCAAGGTAGGTCTTTCCAGTACCACTGGGACCAGAGAGGACCAGGCGGCGGTGTTTGAGAAGCAAACTGATGTAGTGTTGCATCATGGGTTTGGGAATGAGTGTTTCAAATACCAGGCTGTCCACACACTTCTCTTTTAAACCTGTGCATAGTGAAGGAAAATGAGAATGAAGTGTGGAGCAATAAAAAACAAAGTTGATGACTACCTGCTAATTACCCCAGTGGCAGGGTTAGGTACAGCTTGACTCTTAACAGTCAAGAGCTTGTTAAGACCTGTGTCTGTGTAGGTTCTCAGTCATCCAGGTCATCTTTTCTACAGAGTAGGTTTCTTGAAGACTATCACCTCTCATCCAAGAGGCTTCTTCAGTTCTGATTGACTACTGGGAACTTCTGGTATTTAACAACCTGTAACAAGGGTTGTTGCAGAAAACAATACACTAATAGGGGTGGAGGGGTGGAGGTGTAGTGGACTACAACTCCTACAGTTGTTGCATACGCTTGTACAGTAGTTGTTTGGTTTCCCTATATTAGTGTGTTGCTTTCTGCAAGAACCCTCGTTACGGGTATGCAGCCTCTTTGAGGCTAAACATCAGAACTTCCCAGTAATCAGTAAAAACTGAAGAAGCCTCTTGGATGAGAGGTGAAACGTCTTAAAAAAAACCTACTCAGTCCAGTGGCCATCGATGTAACTATTTTTGGATTGTTAAGACCTGTGTTAATGACTATGATGAATATTATACAAAGGTAAAGCAAACGTAAAATGATGTTGTGGAAATGGTTTACCAGCACCTCCAATGCCCTTCACTAGTAACATGGAGCTCGATAGCTTTGCTCTGAAAATAACTTTTCTTGTGGTGGAGCTCATCTGCAGCTCGCAGCAGCCCGCACATGGGTAAAGTTCCACATCTACATCTATGGGGCCCGAGTGTCTGAGGCTGCATAACCAGCTGGGCCTGGCTGTTCTGAGATCAGGTTACCCAGAGTCCTGTCTGGGCTGCCGCTACTTTCCCAGCTCTCTTGGTACTTCACTGCCCACATTCCTGCATGTGGAGGTGCAGAAGGGTGAAATACCAGGCCAGAACCTCAGCTCTCTCTTCTGACCACTTGGGTTTAGAATCACTGGTCTCTGCATATGTGCCACATGCACAAACAAAATTTGGCAACATCTGGTGGTGGAGTTGTATGTTATGGGCAAATATAGTGGGGCCTCGAGATACGACTTTTATCCATTTCATTCAGAGAGTTTCATCAGTAGTAAAACATAGATTGTGTATAGAGAAGACCCACATTTGATGGAAACAAGGAATAAATTCTACTTCTGTCACAAAAATAAAATGCATTCATGTTTAGATTTGTTGAGTCAACGATGATAACAAATACAGTCATAATCAAAAAACTTTTTGACCAAAAAACAGACCTTTCAAAGACACAGTTATGCTGCTGGGACCACGAGACATGCAGCGTGACGGTTGGTTCTCAGGTGTGTCCCCTCCCAAGACTCTCTTGATGTGACCCATACTGTAGCTGTAAATGGAGTCAGTAGAAAGGCCCAGACTGGAGGTGGGGTCCACTTTGGTTATGTAGACCTGGAAGTAAACGTAAAAATAACGATATAAAAACATAAACAGTGGTTTTCAGTGTGTTAAAGCAGTGACGCGCTGATTCTATCAATAAATGGCAAACTGTCCCAACAGACCGAACATGTACAGAAAACTCACCTGTTATCAAGCTGTCAGAGAAGGACAACTCACCTTGAAAGCCTGGCTGACGGCTGAGTCCAACATGTTCCAGTCCATCCTGCCGTTCACTCTGACTGTGCCCACAAAGAAATCCTGCTGTTTCACCTCCTGTTGGTTCAGAGTGTAACAGAAATCAGTGACAGGAGTTTTTTTTTGACAACCCCATCACAGGAGGGATTAACAGTAGGAGCCGATGAACTGCCACATACTCACATCTTTAAAAACACGTAAATCTGCTACACAGACTAGCACCCTGACACGGTAATCGTCCCTCTGAGAGGACAGACTTAGGGAATCACTGGAGTGGACATCTGTTGGACAAACAGAAAAAAGAAGCTTAAACACAATTACCTTTAATGAGAGGAAATATGTTTGAAGGTCAATTTCTTGACCTGAAAAGACATGAGTGTAGGAAGTGTTTAAGTGAACCTGAGCTGCTCCCGTCGCTCATCCCCCTGCTGTAGCCTTTTGGCAGGTGCACGGCCATTGACTGCCGTGGAGATCCATTCCCACCCAGGGTGGTCAGAACTGAAGACTTGGACCCTGAGCTGGACGGTCCGGGAGACGGACAGGAAGGTAGGGTGCCTGTCTTCAGCTCATCGTTCTCTGCCTTCAGGTTCTCCACTGTCCTCTGCAGACAAAGTCAAATCAAAGGTTACTGGAGTGTTTGTGGTAGTTTCTCATCCTTAAAAAAGCAGAGTTAGAAAAGAAAAAAGAATATCTATTGAATGCGTAAAATAAGTCAAAATGTTGCACTTAGTGGTGAAAACAAACAATGCATTTAAAAACACTTAAAAGACCGATTATGACACACACAATGACATAAAAATAATTTAACATCTAAAACAGTTACTTTTGGTCCCACAAACCTGCATGTTGTTCATGGCCTCCTGCAGCTGCTCCAGCTGATGAGCAGAGCTCAGAGCCTCCAGGCGGATGTCAGTTAGTTTCCTCTCCTTCTCCCACAGCTCTGTCCGCAGCTCTGTCACCACCGTGTCATCCCCCACCTCACCTTTTTCACATAGTCTGAGAAGAGTGATGTGCAACATGGCATTGAAAAGCAGAGCAGGGAGCAAGAAAAGTGAATATTTGAAGTTCTGGTTTTGTTCAGAGATGAATTTTTGACGTGATGACATTTACCCAGCTGATGATGCCGAGCCCGAGGACTTCAGTGTCATTGAAGGATTATCGCTGATATGGTGGATTTTAGGAGAAGAAGGTGCAGAGGATTCTGGGGTTGCAATCTCTTCGATGTCGGCATAGGGTCCTGTCGGTTTGGAGCCTTTTTTACTGAAGGCCTTATTGAAGGAACTTCGTAACTGTTGGAGACATAAATGTTAAGACTACAGTGAGAGGAGAAGACTTCTGAAAACTGCAGCACAAACACCAGGTTCCTGGTGTTTAATGGTGACGCTATCCTCCTGCTGCTTGTTCAGTAGTGAGCTGAGGAACTGAGCAGTTATAAATTTAGGGAGTGTTGATGGGAACGTACGGCTCACCCTTTTGTTCTTTGTATGTTTTCTTGACTTGTTTCTGAGATTCATACTGTGAAGGAGACATTCTACTTATAATATATAATAGTAATATATATATATTATATGATATACTTTAATATTTGTTATATTGTATATATATTTATTTATTTATCAATTACTAGACATTCCAGGTGAGCCCATGTGGGATTGTGACCCCAAGGTTGATAAACACTGGTTTAGAGACCAGCATGGAACAGAAAACAGCACCAAAGTGAAATAGCTTGAAGCTAACTCTAACACATGAAACCAAAATATTATTTGTGAATGTGATTGCATCATGGTAAAAAATAAAGTTGGTGACAAAAACTTTCCTCACATTATGTAGATATGACTCAGACAGTGCGTGCAGGAGAAGGGTAGAGAGCAGGGCTGGGGGGGAGGGAGGGTTGGAGACGAACAAGTTTTATTTGCTGTAGCAACATCACTCACCTCAAAGACCTATAAAAAGCAATGGGCAGCATGAGGAAGAGACGAGAGCAGGAATAAAGACAGATTAGGAACAAAATAAAGATGGGAGGACACGTCCACATGCAGGAGCACAAAACAGGACAGAGTTGGACCAAATACTGTCACTGAAACCGACAAAAGCTCAGGTGAACTGTGTGTACACCCAAAACAAACTTTATCTAATTAGTCAAATAAACAAAATAAATCTATATCTTTTCAGTCACTGTAAGGAAATGATGAACTTATTATTACTAGAATCAAGCAATGATGAGTTATTAATAATACATTTTTCTTTAAAAAATATAGGTAATAATTATTCAAAATAAAAAAATAAAAAAATTAATGGAATAAAAGCTAATAATTAGGGCTGTCAAAATTATTGTGTAATTAATTTGTAAAACTTAAATGTGAAATATCTGTTAGTTTTAAATTTATATGAATGTTAATTTATCGTAATTAATCACAATGAAATGTAATTAGTGAAACCACAGAATAAAATAATTAGTCAGGATTGATTCTCAGATACCCTGTGATAATTCAGATTTAAAGTTTTCATCATTTGACAGCCCTAATAAAAAATAAATAAACTGGATTATGTTACGGCTGTTGGTTACATCTAAAACCTAATAAAATAAAAAAAAAATTATTTTACAACAGCCCTTGTGTTTGTGAAAATTTTGTGTAATTCAAATAAATGCCCTTTGATTTCAACCACTAACTGTTGAACACATGGCAGACTGCTGAGTCCTGCTGTGGTAAAAAAAAATATGCTCAAAATAAATCTGCGTGTTTGTAATCTGTCAAGACTTTCTGACCACACTGCTGTGTTTCTAATTAGTTTGTCTGTCTCTCTCTGAGCCCTCACCCAGCTCTTCTTCTTCTTCTTCTTGGCTTCCTGCTCTTTCATGCTTCCCATACTTGAGTGGCTGGTAGTGCTGGTCAGGCTGGAGATGCTTTCTGATGAGTTTTGGCGATCGATGGTGGGCTCTGGATACCAGGAGAGTTGAGAATGACTAAAATATCACAAGGGCAGCTTTTTGAAATTCCAAATTATATTACTTAACCCATCATGTCTTTACCATTGGGTGTCAGGTCAGGGTTGTTGAGAGCCCCCTGGATGATCTCCTGGGCCTCTGCATTTTTGGTCTTGAGAATATCAATGGTGTCCTTCAGATCCGTCAGCTCGGAATCCTGTGGAGGGGGAAACATCAGCAGGTATTCTTGATATTCACATTAGGCTGCAGGCTGGTAACTGAACCATGACTCTTCTGATGTGAGGATTCTGGAATGTCTGTTAGCTTTCAGCCTGGCTGACAAGCTGTGCTGAGTGGCTGATGTCAACATTGAAATCCCATCATGTGAACCTCTGACCTTCCCTCTTCTCTACAGGAGGACTTCATCACCTGCTAATTTCTCTTTTACTGATTGGATTAACTACACAGTAAATCACACAGATGGTGCTTCGATTTCAGTGGTATATCACCTCATACCTTTTGCTCCGAGGAGACTGACAATGTCTGCAGGCGTGCAGTCATCAAGGTCAGGCTCTGTTCAAATGCTGCAACCAGATTAGCCTGAGAGTGAATGAAAATTTGAAGAAAGAAAGAGAGGAGAAAAAAAAACCACAGGAGCAGGTGTGAGAGTCATTACAAGTGAACAATTTTGTCCATCTGCTGGAGAAACTTGGAGATGACGGACAGGTGTCAAAAAGGACAATGGCAATAGAAGTGTGAAAACCTCAGAGCATGGTTGAAGTAAGTCTAAATGACTGATGGATTTACACAAAAATGCATATACATACAAATATATACATATGTATGTATGTATGTATGTACACACATACATATACACACATATAGTATATATATTTACAGGACATATATGTGTGTATATGTGTTAACATGTTCTTGCTGTTATTTGTCTTTCTGTTGAATCAATATACAGAATTTCTTTTTCTGTATCAAAATCTAATCATGATTAATCAAGTGGTATCCTTGTGATTGGTCAGATTAAAAAAAAAGGCAAAATCTGCCATTAACTGCTGTGCAATAGTGTTATATCCAAGAAGACAAATGTGAAAGCAAGAAACAAGTCCTTTATCGTCGGCAGTCAAACAAACCTGGCCTAACTGCTACACCCAGCATCCAAAGGTGTGGGTCAGTGGGAAGAAAGCAGGGGGCAGCAGCGAGTCCAGTAGGCACAACAGCCATAAGAGTAAAAGAGAGGAACAAGAGCATTAGGGGGAAAAAAAGTTTCGTAAAAGATTTTCACACAAATGAAATTAGGCACCCCCAGAAGTGTACACACACACACACACACACACACACACACATTCATCAATGTCATACAATCATTGTGTTTTACACCCTAAAAGTTTTTGACAACTTGTGAGTAAAAATGCACTGCACACCGAGAGAAAAACAAAGCTGAAGGAGACAAGAAGTTTGTTAGGGAAAAATTGCTAGAAAGATTTAATGATGAAGAACTGATAAATAATAAACACAAAGGAGAGATAATACAAGGACAGTTAGAAGAAATACTGACAATAACTATCTGTGTTATAGACATGCAGCATAAAGCTGAATTGGTTGCTAATAAAACCCATATGAAGAATGCCGAAGACACTAGCTGTACCCCATGTAGTTATCATAATAAAAAAATAAAATTATTATTGAGTAATATTAGTCACACAAATAAATAATTAATAACAATAATGTGTGTGAGTGTATTTAAAATCAAACCAAAATCGTACATTGGCAGAAAGTTGCATAGTCAGGTTGGCCACCTTCTCTTGTGAGGCTTCCAGCTCACGTCTCAATTTACGGATTTGCTGAAAAGATAAAAAAAATAAAAATAAAAAAATAGATAGATAGATAAGACATTGTTTTATACAGTGGACTTCAAAACAGAAGGATTCACACGTTGACGAAGACTTTTAGTGACACTGAATCATGATGAGGTTAATCATGTTGCCTGTTTTGGTCAACAAATACAAACACAAAAATATGGAATTTATTGCCCTCAAATATAAAACTTACATTTTGATATAAACAAAGTTTTACTGTAATTAATCTCTGAAAGCATTAATATGTATTGGCCTTAATTCTACAGAAAAAGTCAAAATCATTACATTTATCCAGTGAATACAAATCTGTCAAATAAATCTGTAAGTTTGTAAAAAAAAAAAATAACATTAACAAAAAAACATTAATAATGTTTGACAATGTTGTTAAATGGTAATGGTGAGAATGAAAAGCAGCTGAAACAGAGATGTGAGGTGACTGTTAACATTAACTGATGGATGAACCTTAAAAACAGGGAATGTCATGGGACATACACACAGGGTGAAGACTTATGGCACAGGAGCCTTACCTCCCCTTGTATCCGCTCCTCATTCTAATGTCAGCATGGTAAAAGCAAATAGGCAATAAAGAGAAGTTATTTTTAGATGTAAGATGTTTCTGCTTACCTCCAACCTCACTAGTATTAAACCATGCCACATAGCTAACCCTTTATAAACAAATATAAGTCATGAGACGTTCCACTACAAAAGTGTTTTCTGCATCTTCAGAAGAGCAACGGAGTTGAAGCAATCTGTATTGTATCTCTTGGGTTCTTACCTGGATGGCAACTTAATATGTGGAATGTAGTCACAAGTTTACCTGCGAGATCTTATAACTTATGGCATTAGCCATAATGAGTGCAGTCCTACTGGTTGAAACCTCTAATACTCTGTCTGCAGCATGAACATGCAGCCAGATCACATTAACTCTGCATAAAATGACAGAATTTACTTACACAGGAGTGGTTGGATGAGGCATTGGACGCCAAAGAGAGAACGGAGCCATGAACTGCAAAAAAAGAGGAAAGTTTACATTATTACCACTGTAGAATAAAGAACAGTTGATATCCTGTCAATCATTATTTAAAATATTAACCTTGTACCTTGTATAAACAAGGGTCAGGTCTTTGAATAGTTAATTTTAATTAATTAAAAATTAAAAAAATTAAAAAAAACATCTTATTAATGGATATATTTATATGTATTTATGTTTCTTTCAACTGTTAATCCACCATTCATTCATACATCCATCCACCTTATACTGCTGTCCACACACAGCCTCCTGACGAAGAAACAAAAGTAACCAGATGGCAAACACTGGTGTTTGGGGGAGGCATGGATGTAATTTGTCATATTTATTGGGGGTAATAGAGGCAAAGGTCTCCACCACCTTTGTTTATTCAAACCAACTATTTCCTGATGTTTGTCCAGAATGACCACAGTATCAGGATTCCAGTCTGTTTTTAGGCCATATTAGGCAAACTTCACGGTACGAAGGCTTCATGAGTAAGCTCACCATCTTCTCCCGCTTCACGGAAAGAACCCGAGCGCATCATGCTTTTTGGCCGGTTAGCCAACGACAAACTGCTGCCCAGGGGGGAGGAACCGTAGAGGTCAGCCGAGTCGCTGGGAGGCCCGATGCTGTTGGAGCGGGAGATCCTGGAGGTGCCCGTGGGTATGGGAGCGACTATCACAAATGGAACACATTTGGAAGAAGAGTGAGTGGCACAAATAGAAAATACAGCCGTAGAACACGGACACACACAAACACACACAGCCCACACCTTGGTAAACCCACCCTCCCCCCCTTATTCTGATGACTCAGTGAAATAGTAAACTGCCATGGTTCCACAACAGTCACAAGGATAAATATAGTCTGACTTCACCCGCTCAATGCTTCCATCTGCTGCATATTTCAGCCTGGAATACAGCAGTTATAAAACAGTTACATCTCCATGGTCAAAATATGGATATCTAACTATTGTGACACTACTTTTGATTTAATGTTCACTCTGAGTGTAAACAAATCTGTGTCACCTTGCTGCTGCGTTAATAACTTCTGTTCATGTTCATTAGCACTGACAAGACGTATGATTTATCAAAGATAACTCTCAAAGCTGGAATCGTGGGTGTTAAGAGAACCTGGCAGTCAATTCCAAGCAGGCAGACTCACCCACGTTAGTGAGAGGGACCTTGTTACAGGATGAGGGGAGGAGCTGGCGGGTGGGAGAAGGCAGCTGAGGGGGGCTTTCGCTCTCCGTCATGCTAACTATGGTGTGGGAGTGGCGTCGGCCCGGTTTGCTGCAGTCACTCTCTGATAGGTTTGAGCTGTAACATCTGAAAGTGGAAAGGTCGTTTTCAGTCCAAACAGTGATTTCACAGTGTGGTGTAAGATTGTGAAGACAGATTTTGTTTAGACATACTCTAATCCTTTCTTGGGTAAGGTATTTCTGTCTGTTTGCAAGCTGGAAAAGACAGAAAAAAACCACACAATTAGTACGGCATTTACAGATCTAAAAAATAACATGAAGTTGAATGGTTAAACAACAATTACATTGTTGAGATCATGTGTCAGTCCCAGTTATTTTCATGAACCTTTAATCCCACAAACTAACTTTAGGAAAAGGGAGTAAAAAACATCACAGAATAGCTTCTTTAAAAGGGGGGAGGTCTAATGATGACAAAATAGAAGGCATTCAGCAGATAGTAATACATTAAATATGTAATAACTTAATTGTATATGATGCACTTTGTGTTTTGGTAGGCATGTGACCTCCTGTCTGTGGTGTGACAAAGGTTGGAGACCACTGCCTTTAGAACCCTAGCCAAAATATATGGAACATTTTCCTGACAATAAGTGATTCCTTGACGCATAAAGCAAAATTTAAAGTCCCTCAAACTTCTGAACAAGTGGTATCTGCTATCTGTCTGTTTATCTATCTATCGATCTAATCATCTATCTGTGACTTACCTCTCTGAGAGGTTGAGTGAGGTCCTGCTGCCTCCTCCCCAGGTTCCTGTGGCTCTCTCTTCTTTGTCACGCGACTCCATTGGGACAAACCTGGTACTGGAAGAAACACTCATCTGCAGAGGCAGGGATTCCATGCTGCGGTGCATGCCAGAGAGTTTGGGGTAGAGCAGTGGAGATCCACTCAAACTTAGACTCAGGTTGTCACTGGTGTAGGAGCTGGAGTCGATGTGGAGGACAGGAGCAGGGCTCGGGGTGAGGCGGGTGGATGTGTGTGAGCTGGCCAAGTCCTGAAGTTTGGAGTATGGAGGTACTTTTGGTGGAAGGTCATGGATGGTCACACAAGAGTCCAGGCTGTTGGAGTTGACCTTGTCCAAATGAGCTAGGCTAGGTGGGCGACCCAGAGATTTGGTGTGGAGCATCCTTAAGGAGGCAGAAAAACAGACACCATAAGTACTTAATTCATCATGTATGTCTAAAAAGAGCATTTATTTTCCATGTACATTCGACTCAAATCCCCCCAAAAATCTTTTAATTTTTTGTCATCCAGATATTTTGTGGTTGTATTGTTTTTCAGACGAGTGACTCCGAGATGTCTGCCTCCTCAAATTCTACTTTTTTTTTTCTAAACAAATTATCTTTTTACGAGTCTGAAACATATCCTTTAAGAAAGCAGTTCCAGATAAAAAAAATGTATCTGTGGATTCTTTAGACAAAGCTAATCACTTTTTAAGGAGATAAGTTTTCCCCATCTCTGTGGCTCAACTAATATTTGTTCAAATCAGCAGGATTATGACAATTTGGCACTTAAGGTGCAATGTTTTAGTAATGTATTTTAGTAGCAATGAACTGAAAATGGGGCTATCCAAACAAAACTGTCTAAAAGTTCAGTTCAGCCAGCAGAGTTTTAGCACTGAAACAGGATGTTGCAATGACGGTTCAAGAAAAAAAATGTCTATGTTGTAGAGATTATTACTTTAATGGTAGGGATGCAGTGGTTAGTGAGGGATCTGCACAGGATAAGGGACACCTTCTGACCTTGCTATACTGTAGACCTGAGGATATAGTTATATATGTTTTAAAGCACTTGCACTTTGTAATTATGTATTCAATGAATGAATAATAATTTGTGCATTAGCAGTGTCCTGCAACATTGATTTTTTTTCTATATTTCCTATATTTTATGTATAGCATCAATGAGAGACCTTGGTGTGGTGGGTGATGAGAGTTCGGGGTATTTGCTACTTCCTGTCCGTCTCAGTCCGTGGAGTTTTAGAGTCGACTCTCCCATGGACTCAGTCTGAGTGTCCTCTCTTTTCAGGGAACCACAGTCCATGTCGCCACCCACAGCTTTGGCCTTAGCTCGTTCTTTCTCCTTCTCTCTATCTGTCTGATTCACTGGGCCGCAGCTAGATCGAGAGCTTTTACTGCTGCAACTGCTGCTGAGCTCCTTGACCCTGGGGCCTGCGGATGCCACAGGCACAGGTTTCAGACTCAACAGACTGGCGTCGATTGTGCCGCTGACAGGTCGGCCTGCAGGGCGACCAATCACACTGAGAGTACTGGACTTGGCAGGTCGAGGCAGGCTGCGGTACTGGATGCTGTTCCGGGTGTTTGGCCCCAGAAAACTCTGCTCACTGCTGGCATCAAAACTGTTCTTTCGACCAGAAGGGACTCCCTCTCCCATAGGCTTCATAGGGATTGCAGTGGACTTGGGAGCTTTCCCCACAGTGGCAGAGCCACTGGAGATGTTGGTGCCCCCTGCTGTCATAACAGTGGCGGTACCAGTGGCTGTTGGTGGCTTTTTGTAGCCAAAGGATGCTCCAGCTGTGGGTTTCACCAAACCTGAAGGAGGCTTACGATGCTCTCCATGATGATCTCTGCCTGCGTCAGACCTGGACCGCTGTAGTCCAGAGGTTTTTAGAGAAATCTTGGATTTGTCTAGAGGCTTCTCACTTTTAGGCACTGTGTAAAGGAGACAGCATGTTGCATGAAGGTAAGTCAAAGACGTAAGACACACGTTACCATTTGAAAACATCTAAAGTTTAAATCACAAAACCATGTTGAGATGGGTCTCTCAGATGTCTTTGTCAGGTTTGATAAAAATATTTTTAACACTTCAAAAACGAAAAACAGAGAAAACCTGAAAGTTGTAACCAAACCTTTGTAAATACAAAAACCAATGTTAGCTCTGTTTAATAAATCCTGACAGGATACCATACGTATGCTAATAAACCAGTGTTTGAAGTCAATTACAATTAGCATGGCCATCAAAATAGTGACATTTAAAAAATTGAAACCAAAGCTGAGACATTCCAGACACATCAGTGTAATAACACTGCCTAAAGTGCCAATGACGCCGAGTATGAGTCACCAACAGAATGACTTCAGGGGCCAAACCCAAAATTATATCATCATATCATGAGTTATTACCAAGGAACAAAGTCATTGGAAGCCTGGGTAATGTCGGTTGATTTTTATTGCTTTTGTTGTGATTGTAGGAAGGAAGAAAAAGGATGTTTAAAAAGTGTAGAATGCAAATGTATAGTATCAAATTTTTGGGGGGGATATGGCTAAAATATTTTTTTCTCAAAGACTGGGTCTGGAACTCAATATGTATTTATGTGTGAAGTGATCATTAGAACATCACACAGTCACATTTGGAGACAAAAGACAGTTCACAATCACAGTGGTATGCATCACACAGTCACATTTGGAGACAAGAATAAAGCCCTACTCTACTCTATAAAAGACAGTTCACAATCACAGTGGTATCGAAATAAAAATGTTAACAGTATAATCAACTATGTTATCAATATGATTGTTTTTAGTTTGTGTAAATATGTTAAAATGAACAAATATTGACACAAATCCCACTAGAAAGACATTCAAAGTTAGTGTGCCATAAGTCTTACCTGCAACTTTGAGCACACTCTGTGATGTGTGTGTGATGGGGGAGGTGACTCCCACTGGAGGATTACGACCTTTCTTGAAGGCCACCGGTTGACCTAAGCTCTGTGGCTTTTTCACATCACTTTTATTCCCAGCATCTTCACTGAAGCTCGGAGGTTTCTTCCTCCACTTGCTTGGGGCCTCTGTTTTCAGACTCCCTGTGTCATAGCTGCTGCTAGAGAGTTTGTGAACTGCCTTGGCGTCCTCACTATACCATGAGAGACCGCTTTCCACCAGGGAGCGCTTCTCTGCATCGGTGCGGAGCTGCACAGACAGGAAGGGAAAGGTAGAGTATATTCCACAGTCAGACATGGTTTGTGTTATCTGTGGAGTTGACTGTCCTCTGTAATCTATGTTTCATCTAAGCTACATTCCAGTGAAGAGGGGAGTGGGTTAAAGAGACACTGAGTGAAAGAGAGAGAGACATAAAGACAAGAAAAAAGACAGACTGTTTAAGCTCAACCAGACTGAAAAAGAAAAACACAGTCCTAGACAAAGGATGGAGAATGATGTTGAAAAGAAAACTGCAGACCTGAAAACTGAACCATGATTATCTTAGACAAGACAATTTGTTCAGGTATAGGATGAAAAAAACATAATTTCTGTCGAAAAACGACAACTTGAAAAAGCACAATTCATAGTCCAGAACATACAATGATATTTAAACCTATGGTCCAAGTTGTTGGAATGTTCTGTCGTTTACAGTTTGTGAAACCCATACTTTGTTTAATGAGGTTTGTTTTTTTTCTTTACTCACCATGGCTGATGAGTTGCGTCTGGAGCCCAGTGGTGTAGTGGGGAGAGAGTTGAGTGAGGAACTGGCATTAAACTCCTCTGAACTGAGGTTGTCGGAACCATCCCCGTCACCGTCACTCAGGCCACTGCTGATGGAGCTGCTCTCGTCCCAACTGAAACAACACAACAATGACAAAACCTCAAAATGGGCTCATAAGAAGTCTGTGGTCAAGTGAATAATAAAGGTGCAGACGATGCTGGTACAAACAAAAAGGCAACAGTAATACATCCATCTGTCTTCTATAAATGTCCTCTGGAGGTGACCACATTGCTCAAACAGGCAGGTAATTTCAACATGGCTACAGCTGCTCCCATGCTACTCTCTTAATCCACCAGAGCTTAGGCCATATGGTGCAGAAACCCTCAGGAGTGGATATTTTGGTGCAAATGTATTAATTAGCCAACTGTCCACACATCATAATTATTTCACAAGAAAAAGAGATAGATCGGAATCTTTGGTTAGTTTTTCATTATTTATTTCACTTTTCTGTTTTGAGGATGAGTGGATATTTTTATACTAATCTTTACTTTAATATGGGGGCATCCATATCAATAGTGGTATTGCGATAGGAAGTGATACTTTATTCAGTTACTCAAATTTGTCCTTGAAAATATGTGATATATCCAAGTTGTTCTACATTAGTGAGACTCAACCTCAAGAAGCACCGGAATCAGTACTCAGCATTGGTGAGGGTTGGCTCGATCCAACACTCAGGATTGGCATTGGTCCGATATTGGTCAAAATCTCAAGATCCAACATAAAAAACAATAGCCCGTCTGAGCCAAGACCTAAGCCGGAATGCTCAACTTGATTTTTCACAACGTGCCATAAACAGGGACATTATCGCATCCGCAAAGGCAGCCCACGGCATGCTGAAAGAGAAAAAAAAGGTATCAAACTGATATTGATATTGGCAGATGCTCCAATTTGCAGTACTTGACATGAAAAAGTTGTATCAAGCCATTCCTACTGTGATTACGTAAATGAAAATGCTTGGTTTTCAAAAACCAGGTATTGGAACAACCCTATTTTAATAGGATTATATGTAGGAATAATTGTGACTAAGAATTCCCAAAAACCCAAAAAAGTGTATGCACATTTAAACACTTAAGGTTAAGAAGAAGTTTAGTTGATCTAAAAAGGCTAGACCATCCCAGTGGAAACCTCTTCAACCCTTTTGACCTTTTGCTGCTGCCACAATTAAGTCCCACTGATCCAAGTCAAGCAAAACTGACCATCGCCAAAATAAAACAACTCCCTTTGCATCAGGTCACTGGAAGCCATCATCTTTGAACAGAAATCATAGTGCAGTGTTCAATAATAGATGTAGCCTCTCAGTCAACCTCAACATAACAGAAAAGAAGGAGATAGAGGTCAGACACAGTTTGAATTAAAAAAAAAATCAACTGTAAAACAATTTTAATGTGCTTCAGAAGAGCGATTATGCCTCGTTGAATTACAATATACATATCTTCATAGCACTGAAGGCAAACAGCAGTCTGGCTTTTATATAATTATAATCCCTGTCATTTCCTCTGGCAACCACAAGTGGTGATTAAATTTGTGTCAGCATACAAAAGCATGTGGAATCGTGGAAAAGGTACATTAATAAGAGCCACTAAACCTGGTCACGATCTGCACTGAATCAGTTCTTCTCCTCTGATTCCCTGTTTACTTGTCCTCTTTGACCAAAATGCTCTTTTCTTTGGGTCGGCAGTGTACAATTAACAGAAGGCACAGAGAACAGAAAGACAGAAAAAAAAACATGATTGGTTAAAAATGGCCTGAACACGAGAGGAAGTAAATCACTTGGTTTGAGTCAAGTCTCTTTCAATTACCTCAAAACTTTGTTTTGATATTAAATAATCCGGTTCTCTAAAAGTAACGACCAAGTTCAGCTTATCTCTCATACCGTCGATAACTAGAATAAGTGCAGGACTTTAATTACAACATGTGCAGGAGGGGTGTGTTTTGCACAATACCACCTCTGTCATGAGCAACAGGAGGACCATGAATGACCCCACAGGGATGTCAGACTAAGAGGCTGTGGGCTGTTGAATTTACAAGCCAAACTGTCTGCCTCGGGGGTGAGTGCCAGACAGGGCAAAGTGTGGGAGTACTTCAGCAAACTACATACTTCCTACAGAGGGGGCAATTAATTTTTTTTATTTTATTTTTGTGATCTCTGGTGCAAAAGCTAGGTCTCTGTGTGCATTGCTGTTCAGTAAAGTAAAGCTGCTGTGGGTTTTTTTCCCCTTAATTTATGAAGCATTTAATATGATTGGTGAAGTGGAACTGGTCCAACCATCACTGTTCTACATGCATTAGTCTGAGGGAAAACACAAGACAAATGTCAAATATATGACTTGTTCACACGTTTAATTTGGGTTAATTTAATATAACTTGGAGTGGAGTGACAGAGTGAGAGAGTTACACAGGCTAACCAAAAAGATAATATTGCTCATTTGTCATGCCAATACAGCTAAGAAAACAAATCCGTGCTATTATTTCTAAATTATCCTAACATATATGTTTTAAATGTTATTTGTTTTAACGATTTTAAATACCAGCATATATAATTGTCACCTTTTCTTTGCAGCCTAGCAACTCTTTACACAAACTAGTTGGAAATTAACATTTTTCATCTCGAGTCCATAAGCAATACAGCAGCTAAAAGAGTAAAACTAGCCAAAATAAATGCAAAGCCATGTCACTTCATTGACCTGATAGCTTATCCATAATTCGCAATTTACATTTTCTATTTTAAAAATGTTCTTTAATAAGAGCAAAACTGTTTCTGCCACGTTATTACTACGTGTCCTGACCAATGCTGGAGCCATATGTGGGGTCACCGACTCTCAATGTTAAAACCAACATATTTATTCTAAGGCGCTTGTAAACGGAGATAATACAGTGCATATCATGGGGAATGCGTCACCTCTGGGCACTATGTTTTACTGCATAAATATAGCACAGATCCATGCAAAAGACTGACAGCGTGGTGAAGACATTCTCTATTATACAGATAGTTGTGGCAGCAGCACCGCCATGTCATTCGAGAGAAGAAATGTGTGACCACAGATGTTTTACCACAGTGTTGAAATATACAACCCCAGCACTTTTCTCCCCGAACCCCAGTCCATTCCATGTAAACAATCTCCACATGTGCTAAAATGCTGGACTTGCGGGGAAAAACTGAGTTGACCAAACTTTACATACAATAACATAAAACCAATCACATTCTTCTGAAAGTTTGGAGACGTAGTTTATGTTATTAACGTGAAATGGAATTCATTATCTTAACACTTTAACATATCTTTAAAAAAATATGTATAACTTAAAATAGACAATTAAACAATTTATATTGTGTAAAACAAGCCGATATAATCGGCTATACATTAGTAGTTTGTCGGCCAATGTTACTTAACAATAATTAACTGAACACGCGCAAGAATTCTCGATTAAAACAAAAACTGCTCTACGGAACTGCGTTGACCATTTAAATAATTCTAAAGTAATTATTCTAATTGATTTAAAACTTAAATGAACCGATCCGAATTAATCGTAATCCCATTAGCAATTATTCGGCATAGAGTATTTTCCTTAACATAGTGCGAACTAAATTAACTTAAAAATCACGCGTCGGAGTTTCAGCCCAGGAACAAAGAGCACTAAGAAAAACCCAAGCAAATTAGCTACTTATAGATGACATCTCCCTTACCTTGACGTGAGAAACTGCGACCTTTTCACTACTGTCGCTACAGACAGAGAGGAAGAAACATTCCTGCCCAAAACACGACCGCTCATTTGGAAAACTTTCACAGCTTTTTAAGGAAAAGAAAATGTCTTTAATTCACCGTAGTGTTGACTTTTACCTTCATATTCATCCTACAAGCGCACACACAGACACGTTTGTCCCTGATGTCAATGAGAGGTAGTCAGATACTAAACCCCTTACTCCTCCTCCTTCTCCTTCTCTACCACCGCCTACTTAAATAAAGAGGAGGAGAGAGGGGATTGTGGCAGAATCTGGACATCATCGAAATCACCAATTTACCCAACAACTTTCAACAAATAATAAATACATTATCCATATATTTATCTTTACGGATAAATGGATTAATGGGTGACTATATATTAACTCACTGCTGATTGAGCTGTTCCAGAGTACCAGACGGACTACTGGATTGGTAGATATTCTTTGAGTATGAGTATTGGTTTTAATGCCAACATTGTTATCAGTGCATCTGTACTGTAACAGTTATTAAAGAATATATAAAGATATATAATCTATATAATGCTCAAATATATATTATATTGTTACCCATTAATCCTTTAAGCTATACACTATACATTATATACACACACACTGTGCAGACCTGCACACATCCACAGACAGACACAAGCGGTTGCATTTCAGGCCAGGGCCTGGGTGGTGCCTACTAAAAATGAATGTATGCTGTGAAATCCATCAAGCAGTAATTAAAGCTGTCCCAGCCAATCTTCATGTAGGAACAAAATTCAAACAGCCCTTTTTGACACCAGCCTCCCTTTAAATCCAAGGCGATGGTTACCATAATTATTGGGCCTAAAAATAAAGTAATGTTCCATCACCAGTAGCCAGGGTGGAAAAAACTCAGTTCAAGGTAAGGCCTGAATCACTGTGGGTCCAACCACAGAGCATACACATGACACAGGGACCTCCACAGAGGCATGAGTAACCCTGGAAAACCTTGCTCTCATTCTCATTAGTAGTGGAACAGACCCATGGAGATGATCTCACCAAGATTGTTGTTCTGTAGACCAGGGAGGTAAAGTTCAGGCGGCCCAAACAGATTCAACACCCAGTCCACCCAGTCCACCCAGTCCTATATCTGATATTTAAGGTCCATCCAGATCATGTTTGGACATAAAAATGGCAGTGCCTTTTGACTGTAGAATCAGCAGTGTTAATAAATGCTGCATTGAAAAATAACAAATTAAACGTGGTATTACAAACAAACCAGACTTTCGATCTTTTTGTGGAACATCAAACCACAATTACAACATGAATGGGGTTTATGTTTCACCCTTTTTTTAGAATGTTTTCAACAGCAGTCAGTGAGATGTGAT